CAGGCCAGTGAGCGCAGCATTAAAGACTATCGCAACCTGGTCTCAGAGCTCTCCTCAGAGAGGGAGAAACTCACCCTGGAGACTGAGAACATACAAACGCAGGCCACCGAGGTACATGGACGTTTGAAACTTATTCCTGGACTACTCTCGTCTTTCCAAATCAGTCCTACCTTGGAACATTCAAGTAGCAACAGCTGTCCACTCTCTGTAGCTCAATCTTTGCTTGCATGCTGGAACATTTATTGTTCCCCTGTGGATGTATCCCATTTGATAGTCTGATTTGAACGCATGCATGCGTATGTATCTGAATAAGCTTGCATGTCAATTACTGCATGCAAACATAATCTGTGCCTCTCCGTCTGCCAGCCTCTCAAATCCATTGTATCCCTGTCCACAGTCCCTGTCCTGCAAAAATGTGCAGTCTGCATGCTTTTTTGCCTTTACTTCTTTTGCCTAGAATGATGAACTCCGTCAATGACATCACTTCCGCCGGTCCTCTGGTCTCATACAGTTTGACTGTTGTTGATTGTGCTGTAGCTACTTCAGTCTTTGGGACAGATTTTGCAAATTTATAAAACAGCACGAATATACAGTGAAAATATTGACAATTTCTCAAACTTACTAAGGGATCCCGTCTTGCAATATGAAATCAGGTAATCAAGATTGTCACCCATCTATTGGCTTAATATATCAGTGCTGTCTTGCAAGTTTGCAGAATATAGACTTTATCAATAATAATCTAACAAAATCATGGTTAAAATACTTAATTTGGTTGTTTGCATAGTTGTAGTTTCTGTGAAGAATGTAGTGTTAATATAGTTTGTGTCTGCAGGATTGGGAAGGTTGATTTCACAATGGAAAATGAGAGCTTTTAGACATACTTAAGTATTTCTTTCTACTGAATAACTGCCTTTAAAATTTGACCACTAATGGTACCTATATACTTTTACTTCCCAGTCTTGTAAGACCTCTAGCATTATTGATTATTTACTGTTATGTAATATACACAAAAAGTTGTGTTTTTTCTTTGACACTGTAAGTTAACCAGTATGTTTCTGAGTTGACTAACTTTTCTCTCTTTGTTCTTCCTCTACTTTTGCAAATTATTTTTCTACAGACAAGAGCCATGATGCAATCCCTTCAGTCCCAGTACGATGATATTGTGAAGGAGAGAGATGCTCTGTTGCGGAAATTGCAGTTGTCCGAAACGGACAGAGATCACATCCAAAGATTAGAAGAGGAAAACAGTCGCCTTAAACTATCACAAGATTCTGAACTTCGCAATAAGCAACGTCTACAGGAGGAGAACGAGAGGGTGAAGAGGGACTTAAGTTACTGGAAGGACCAATGTGATAGTAAACAGGGAATGATCAGGCAATATGACACAGACAAAGACATACTGGAGAGGGAAAAGAAATCTTTAAAAAGTGAGATTGACCAGTTGATGAGAGACCTCAAGGACGATACAAATAAAGGTAGGTTGTCAGCCATCCCGAGAGAGATGAAAGAGGTCAGTGTCAGACAAATCAAGGAGACTGAGCTGAAGACAACTAGAGCACCCTTGGAAACTTCCACTGCAGTTTTTGATGGAGTTCGCAAGCCAGTCACGGCAAGCCAGTTGCTTGACTGTGGTGTTTTGGACAAACCAACATTTAGCCAGCTTATGAAGGGACACAAGACTGTCCCTGCAGTATCTGTTGACAAAAAAGTCAATCTTAAAGGGACAGGCCCAATAGCAGGGGTGGTAATTGAAGGTCCAAAAAGCCCAGGGTCCATGATGAGACCACTTTGCAAAATGACTTTCACAGAAGCTAAGAAAGAGAATCTCGTCCCACCAGATAGTGTTGACTTGCTACTAGATGCTCAAGCTGCGACAGGCCACATTATTGACCCGAGAACTAATCAGAAGTTGACAGTTGAAGAAGCATGTAATCAAGGTGTGGTTGATGATGAAGACAGAGAAAGGTTGCTTGCAGCAGAAGCTGCAGCTGTAGGATATAGTGGACCTGGCACAAGCAAACCTCTTTCAGTATTCCAGGCCATGGAGAAGGGGCTGATTGACAAGACCACAACACTTCGTCTGTTACAAGCTCAGGAGTCTACGGGAGGCATTCTAGATCCCTTTCTCAGTGTTTTCCTTCCCAAGGACACAGCCATTGAGCGTGATCTAATTGATGATACTGTATGTCGTGCTTTGAGTAAGAGGCCTGAGCTGTACCTGGACCCAGAAAACGAAGAGGGTGTAACCTACAATGCACTGAAGAGGAGATGTAGGGTAGATCCAGACACAGGACTCTTGCTTCTTCCCATTCCTGAGAAGGTGGAACCCTCGAAACTTGTTTTTGATGGTGTTCGGAAACCTGTCACAGCCAACCAGCTGCTTGATTGTGGTGTCCTGGACAAACCAACATTTAAAGATCTAGAAAAGGGCAAGAAAACTGTTCCAGAGGTGTCTGTGGATAAAAAAGTCAGTCTAAAGGGGACTGGACCCATTGCTGGGGTTATAGTTGAGAGTAAAGGCAAAATGTCTTTCACACAAGCCAAGAAACAAATGCTTCTGCCTGATGATAGTGCAGATTTGCTTCTGGAAGCCCAAGCTGCTACAGGTCACATCATTGACCCAAGAACCAATCAGAAGCTGACAGTAGAGGAGGCTTGCGCCACAGGGGTGGTGGATATTCGTGACCAAGACAAATTATTGGCAGCAGAGGCTGCTGCTGTTGGCTATAAGGATCCTACTGCAGCCAAGCCTCTCTCAGTGTTTGAGGCAATGAAGAAGGGACATGTTGACAAAAAGACTGCGCTCCGTCTGCTGCAGGCCCAGGAGTCTGCAGGAGGAATTCTAGATCCCAATCTCAGTGTGTTCCTACCTAAAGAGACAGCTATTAAGCGAAATCTCTTTGATGAAAACCTCAGTCGTGCTTTAAACCAAAATCCTGAATGTTACATTGACCCAGAAACGGAGCATGATGTCAGCTATGGGGATTTGAAGAAAAGATGTAAGATAGAACCTCACACAGGTCTACTACTTCTGCCAATCACTGAGAAACTAGATCCTTCCAAGTTGATCTTTGATGGTGTGCGTAAGCCAGTAACAGCACAGCAACTGCTTGACTGTGGAGTTCTGGACAAACCAACATTTACCCAACTAATAAAAGGAGAGAAAACTGTCCCAGAGGTGTCAGAGGATAAAAAGATTTTTCTAAAGGGGACAGGATCAATTGCTGGTGTGGCCACTGGACCATTAGGGAAAATGTCCTTCTCAGAAGCCAAGAAAAAGATGCTCGTGCCACCAGAAAGTGCAGATTTGCTATTGGAAGCTCAGGCTGCCACAGGCCACATAATAGATCCCGCATCCAATCAGAAGCTGACAGTAGAGGAAGCATGCGCGAGGGGAGTGGTGGACAACAAGGATCGAAATAAACTCTTGGCAGCAGAAGCTGCTGCTGTGGGCTACCA